ACACAATAACTACACTCCCAGACCCATTATGTAACTTTTTGTTTTCACTCATCGTTCTCGCAGAGCGTACCTAATAGGCTAGACAGCAGCGAGCTCTATAATATCTCGTATTACTTTGCCTAGATGTCCGCTACTCATTATAACAGATTGTGACTCACATATCACACCTGTTAGACTTTTATGTTCTATTTAATGTTCTTTGAGTTTTATTACGTGATGGGAGAAGATGGACCCGGTGAACTCAGCAAGTGAGCAGCTGCTCCAGCAAAACAAACAGCCTGGCAGAAAACAAGCTCAAATTAAATGTATAATCTGTAACATTACTGCATTAAACAAGTATAAACTAACTATTTACTATATGTACGTTGTGTTTCTTCATTATACCAAATGTTTATCCACAATGTTCAAACTACAGAGATAATCTGTCATTTTATTCAGGTAACCGCTGCGTTTCACCGGTTCCGCCTGTCGATGGCCGTCATATCCCCTTTGTGCCTCGTCAGCGTTGTGTTGTCTGCCAGAAGCTGTCATTACACTTACTTTTATCCAGTCTGAAGCCACATTTTACCATTCCACTGTTTGATCTTGCTTTTAACACTCTAGATTGAACGATGAAGGATTTATCATCGTGACGTCTGGATCCTTAAGTTATCAGAAACAACTGACTAACGTTACCAGACTCGGCTCGCAGCCCCATCCGGGCACGTCCTTTGTTCTGTCCAACAGCGTGGAAAGCAGTGATTTCTTAAGGTGGAACTTACTATTCCCCAGTGTGTTATGGTTTTAACAGCACTCTGTTTGTTTGGACGAGAGGAGACCTCTGTGGATATATTGGGCTCCCGTAGAAACCTCCTGAACCATGAACACTGAGGAATCCTAACCGGGAGATAGCCTGGGGCTGTGTATTGGCAGGAATTTGGCGATACGTATCAATTCAGTATATTGCGATACTATAAGCAAAGTCAAAGTATAATAAACATGCCACCATATGCATAAATCTGTACTTTAACTTACTTTTTATGCAAACACAACGATGGGATCTACATCCAACATTCGATTTCAAAGCCCTAAAACCTACAGCATTAACTCTTTTGAAAAAGTCAAAACTGACCTTAGGAGAAAATTCAGGAAGTCCTTTTGAATTTTTCTTGTTTCTAACAAACGTTTTAAAATGTACATAAAAACAGCTGCCAACAGTGTCCACTATTCCTTCGGAAGAAAGTAGTTCCAGTGAAAACTAAGTTCTGTGAATCATCCCAAGTACCACCTCAGTTGAATTGGTGTCAAAGGATAAATCTCTGAGAACGACCCCTCAAACCAAAGCAATGCCTACATCCAATTGTGACAGAAGAACTAATTATAGGCTCATTTTTAGAGACCTGAAGATGTAAAATGATCCAATATTTCCTGTTTACAAAAGAGAAACATCATAAAATACATAATTTTTAAAGCATAAATATGTTTTTCTCCATCTTATAACCTCTCAGATTTATCTTTTAGACCCTTTTGTTGTCACATGTTATACAAATGTTATAGATTTTCCAGCTGAGTTAAGATCATGTTAGAGGGACACGGCTCCAACCATAAAAACTCTTAGTGTAATACACTACAAGGCTCGAGCAGTCCCTCGTCTTGTAGTGATTATCTGTGATGGCTAGGAGCGATGTTTGATAGCTTACAGAACCGGCCAGTGTGTGAGAGGAAGAGAGGGTTTCACTGTTAGTTTCTTTTCGTGGGAAAAACAGTCCTTTGAGTACACAAACACTTACATCTGAAGGAAATGTTAATGGGAAGTACAATGAGTCAGAAATTAGACATCAGATCCGGACAACTGGCTGTTTAATAAAACTCAAAACTATATTTTCTAAGGAAGGAACATGAAGAGGCTTCTGCTAAACAGTTCAACATCTTGGGAAAGACACATTGGCTTTTCTTTTGAGAGTGAGAGGACAAGACAAGGACGACCTCATGTCTATGGAGCTGGAGTGGTTAGCTTAGCTTAGCTTAGCTCAAAGACTGGAAGTAGTGGGAAACAGCTAGCGCGGCTCTGTCCTCAGAAATACACCTACCAACACCTCTAAAGCTCTTTAAGTAACCTCACGAATCTTGTTGTTATATCTGATTCTTTGATGAAAGGTCAAAGCTATCAGTCTGTGTGCGTAAAAACTTAAAGAGAGAAGCTAACTAGCTAACGGCGACTGGAAGCTAAAAATTTAATTTTTTTTGTTCACAATTTTTGAATTTGCTAACTGGCTTCTTCTCCACAGCAATGTCAGCTGATGCTCATGGGTCTTGTAGTTTTTAGAGCAGTCAAACAAAGTGACAAAACAAACATGATTTCTCAAAAATTAAACTGCAACATATATTACATGATCATCAGCTTATGTAACTTATGTTCGGTAACATTAACGATTTAAATAAAATATCTGAAATGCAGAACCAGTAGAACCAGTAAAACCAGCAGCTGCACTCAATATCGCACATTTATATGTTCACAGATTTGGCCGGTGAGCACAGGTGTTGTTTCTGGTCTCTGCACAGGTACGATGAAACAAAACAACCTCACAGTGACGACAAGACTTCAGGAAGCTGCACAGAGTCACTGCACCAACTGTTGTTGTGTACCGATTAAATAAACAAGATATTTTTTAATACTTTTTAGTATTTATAAACTTTGGACAGAGCCAGGCTAGCTGTTTCCCAATGCTTGCAGTCTTTATGCTAAGCTACGCTAACCCCAACCTGACTCTATCTATCTATCTCTAGCTGTCGCCTGGACGAATATATCGGCCAACTAATTTTTTGGCTGTTTTTGTACTTTTATGTTGCTAATTTAATAATTTGCCTGCTAAGAACGAGAGTTGCTGCTCGGTACCAGACGTTCAGCAGCTCAGTACACGAGCCAGAGTGTGAGGAAAAACAGCTGTAGAGCCAGAATATTTTCACACCCAACTCTGTGAATTAAGAGTTAATTTGGACCAGTTTGACGAAAGGGAATACAGTAACAAGGTGATTTACAGTCACTCCAGAGGCAATGGAGACACAACGGGGACGGGCATCAGAGAGACAGCAACAGCTGAATCGTCTCATCTGACTCTCAAAACAAACAAATAAGCTCATTTCCCAAAATGTTGAGCAACTCCTTTAATTAGTCCTCCCATCCTTGTCTTCTGTTCATGTGGTTTTCATTTAATTCTCTTCTCTCACTCTCTTCATCTTCTCCTCCTCCTCCTCCTCTCTGTGTGTGGACAGAAAAACATGGAGGTAACAGAGGAAGGTGGATGGTTTGAGTAGTGTAGGACTGCCAACGGCCCCGAACCCCCCACGTTAACAGCCAGACAAAGGCCTCTCTTCTGCGGCCGCTGTTTGCCAGCTCAGAGGTTGGTGGTGGTGGTGGTGGGGGGGAGAGTTGCAGCTTCTGCAGCGATCAAACATCCAGCCAGCCACAGCTGCTCATCGGCTCACTGCTGCTTCTTGTTGTAGCCGTCAGAGCTGGTAATAAGCCTCGGTCATGGGCACTACTACCAACTACTGACAGCAGCTGGGGATGGATGGCACCCCTTACGGCCATCTGCATGTGGCACAGCTCACAGGGGGCTGGCACTCGGAGGAGCTTGGACGCAGTATATTCAGCCTCTGTTGGAAGGCTCCAGAAAACAACGTCAGATTGAGACGTGTCTTTGGAATATTATCCAAAGAGAAACTGGCACACGGGAGATACGGGAACCCGAGCTTTGTGAAGGTTTTTGGATGTGGACCGCTCTGACTTTGAGTGTAGATACTGAGACTATAGACACAGCGGAGAGGAGTGTGAGGAGGAGAAAGAGAAACTGTAGAAAAGAAGAAAGTTGCATAATTGTTTCTTTGACTGACTTTGGCTCCTCAGTTCATGTCCTAGACCTCCCTTAGAAATCCCCCCGCTGCACTGTGTTCAGACCCCAGAATAATGGCTTTCACCAATATCCAACAAATTAAAGGGTTGGTTCATTTTCTCACTGAACTCTGGTGGTATCTAAGTTTTGAGACATCAATCTGTGAGATTTCTCCAACCTCGAATCACCACACACGCATAAAAACTGGCCTGGGGGATAATTGGTGATAATAGAACTGTATGCGAGTTCTCGTTATTGATCAATGTTTCTGCAACTGAACAGAGTTTCAAGTTTTTCCATAATTATCACAAGAAATCAGCCTTTTATTTTCTCAAGAGAACAAGATAAACGATCCAGAAATTTAAAATTGTCACAAGAAAACAAGCTTTGTTTTAGAATTATTATCTTAAGATAGCAAAGTTAAAGTTTTCTTTGAAATATCAAAATAATGAACTTGTGATAACGGCATTAAAATAATAATTGCAAGCAAGGTTTCTGTAGATTAACATGACGTTATGTTTTCATTAATATTCATGAGGCGTGTTTATACTGGAGGGAGATCAGCCTGCTTCAAAAATCTGTTTTTTTTCTCTCATTAATGTTTGCATTTATTACATCAGTAATAAAGTTGCTGTTTTGTCAAAACTTAATGAAGGTAAAAGAATAATAAGGAAACTAAGTAAGTTAGTCAACAAGCTTTACTGTATTTTCTTCCCTTTTCTGTACAGTTTTACTCGTGTTACAGTAAAAGTAGATAAGTAATCTGTAATCTCCAAAAACGACGCCTTCAACTATTCAGCAGTCACGTGACCCTGACAGTCCAGGTCGTAACGTCCCTCAAGCAAAACAGTAACCAGATTTTTTCCTCCAACCAAATAAAAACGAGGAATATTTTTTATTTTGTGGTGCTGAAATAATTGAAAAAACACATTTGAAAAGAAATGTTTTAATAAATATAAGTTTCTTTTGCTCTGGATAATCCACAGGACACACAACACATTACATAGGGACTATTTCCTCATTGGAAAGTTGTTCCAGTGAAGCCTCTTCACAGCATCTTTGTGGATTAAAATAAAAACAATATGCATGGAGATTTATTTTCTGTAATTTGGTGAACCAACCCTTTAACATTGCTCTCCTCAGAGTTGCTGATGTGAATACAAACGTGTGGACCTGATGCAGCCTCCTGATGTTTTCCACACACTCATTAGTGGAGCTGTGTGTTCACATAAAGTCCGCGGTGGAAAAGTCTTTTCTCCTGAGGCCGACTCCACCAGGCTGCTCATCACCAGCTGGTCCGCCTGAAGCCAAGCAGCATGTGTTTGTGTGGTTAAAGAGATAAAACAGATAGAAAAAGACCAGCAGCAGAAATCATAAACCTGCAGGACAACGCTGCTCTTTTATCGCCAATAAACTCTTGAGAGAGCTGAATTTGATATTCGCTCTTAGAGGAATGTTGTAAATGCGATAACGCCCTACAGGTGTCCAGCTGGACGTAACGGGAGGGGGGGGGACTGGAGTGGAAACTGCTGCTGGAAGAGCTCGGACACTGGAACAAGGTCACGACGCGGCTGCTGCTCTTTGTCTTCTCTCCTCTGAGCTCTGCAGCGTCGTAAATAAATGTCTTATTAATGAAAACTGGCTTCTACAGAGCGACACAGTCCCTCACTCACTGTTTTCAATCAGGGCTCAAAGGTCACTGTGTGTAAAGGTTGTTGGAGCAGCACTGATTAGATCAGTCCTGCAGCACAGCACCGGGTGGAGGTCACAAATAACACAAAGTACAAATACTTCTTTAAAGTTAATTCATATCTTTCATTATTTTCTGTTGAAGAAATAAAAGCTGGAATCAACCAGTCGTGTTTTGTGTGTTGGTGTCCCTGGTGAAACACACACTACCCACATTCCTTCACATATTCACTGATTGTGTTGTGGTCAATCAGCAGGTTTACGAACGAGATGAGCTTTGCTGCCACTTCAGTCTTGTGTGCTCTTCCCGTACGACCTCCAGCCTTCTGAATGCTCAGGTCCAAAGAGAGCCACTGCAGATTGGGTGTAATTACCCAACGTAAAGAAGATTCTTGACAGGGAGCTTTTATGATGTTTGATTTTCCCATTCAAGGGTGGGAGAAGAGAGTGAGGAAGGTGGGAGGAGGTGGATAATATAATACAGAAGGGAGGTGCATTTTAACCTCAACTTGTGACAATAAAGTATATTTAAATAGATTAAATGTGTGTTTTTGAGTGCTATTTTTGGTTGAAGGTGTCACACCCCGGCTGGATGAACAAACGAGGATAAACGTATGAACAGTTTACGAGCTGCAGAGCCAGTAAAGACAACTGAAACCACAAACACTTTCCACACGTCGGCAGAACAAACGGCGTTAAAGCTGTGAATTACATTGTTTGGGCTGTACCTCTTTGCCTGGGAGCTGTGTGGGGTCGACCTTTTGACCGTGGGGTCGGGGGCCCCGAGGTGACGAAAGCGGCGCTTGCGGCAAGGGGCCACGTCCGTGATGTCCCTCAGGCTGTCGTCCAGTGGGCTCGCGGTCGAGGACTCTGAGGAGGACACGAGTCAGTCAGCGTAAAACTCAAAGTGACAGAGTATAAATACATTTTAATGACACTATAACGGCGGTCTGATGACAGACGGGGGACGAAGTTTCTGCTTCAGCCAAAAAAAAGAACATACTTAAATAAAAGTAGCGATTAGGAAGAATCATTATTGGTATTATCTCTGTTTCACTGTGTGTTTTAATTTAAACTACCACATCTGATCGCTCTTCAAACCCCAAAAGTTTACGTTAGAAATGTACATTATGAGTCATCATGTAGGAACTGCCAGATGCTAACTTGTATATGTTGGGCAATCAGTATAATTAGCAATAATTAGCATTAATCACCTATATGGACAATATTATGCTACTGCTTGGCTGATTTGGACAACAGTCTTTTTTGGGGATTATTGAGGATGTTGAATCCATTTCCAATGAGTGTTTAAACCAGAAGTGGCCCCATGTCAACTCCAAGTGGGCTGATTTTGATCATTTTGAGGGTTTCTATATTCTTATACACAACCACAGGTGACACAAGTCAATGACAAAATGACATTTGAAGAAATATTACGTCTGAACATTCGCACCAATAACTGAGCTTCCTTGAGTCTAAAATGCAGCTCCAATGTATTAAAATGTACGTCTTCTTAAGTTTAAACAGACATTTTACAACTGTTTCGATGCTCGTCATGTGTAAAATCAGTGTTTTAACCCTTTTAACCCACATTTATTTGATCTTTCTTGGAGTATCTTGAAATTATTCAAATCCCTAAAATCTGTACAACCCTCAACTAAAGATTCTATAAGTCAATAAACCATAATAATTGAAAAGGGTATTCAAATTGAGTCACAAATAACAAAATTACCTAAATTGTTATAGAATTTTATTAAATAAAAACAAAAAACAAAGTGATTCAAAATATTTAGAAATTTAGGAACATGAACAAAATATTTACGGACACTCCAGAAGTTATTTGAACGATGGACATTTTTAACGTTTTTTAAAATTGCTCTTTTTTTTTTGTTAGCGTCTCTTTTCCACCTGTGCCAATTAGCTGGCGCCACCACGTATCATCACTGTGTTTTGCACGTAACGTAATGTAGCATTAGCTTTTTGCTGCGAAAAAAGAATAAAGAATGAATCTATCTAGTTTTTATTTTAGACTGATTTATCAGGACAATGTAATAAAAACATCTGCCAGCGAGAGGTTTCATTTAGAGGGTTAAATTCTGACGTTAGATGTTTAACAGAGTCATTCTTGTGGTTGAAATGATGCACATCCAGGTGAGCAGTAAAGGAGATATCCAGTTTAATGTCTAACATTTGGGATGATTACGTAACTCACAGCAGTTTTGAAGGGATTTTTTTCTACATGTCATTCTTGTTCTGTTTGAGCTGCAGAGACGGTGGCTGGCATTTTGCCAACATCTGCTCGTGTCTCCCCTCTTTCAGCTGTCTGACTCTGCTTTCATCGCCTCTCCTCTCTGCCTCTATCCTTAAACGTGAGGATAACAAGTGTGTGGAACAACAGAGGGGCAGATGATGGCTTTCCACCAGCAAATCAGCACGTTCTCCAGGGATCAAAGAGCAGAGGAACACTGCGACCGAAGCCAGCGGTGGGAAGACGCTGCTGGAAAATATGGAAACATCCTCAAAAATTACGTGTTTCTTCATTTTCTTGCATTAATCGCCTCTGATATACTTTTCTCCGTTCAGTTTGGTGACTGGTTTCCACATCGTCTGTCCTGTTTTTCTGTGGATATACTGACTATAAAGCAGTCTGTAAAAGCTGCCTGTTAAACTCAATGACCCAACAGCAGAAGCAAGTAAAAACATAAAAAAGTAGAAAGGTGTTTCTTTTCTCTTTAAAAAGAATATATAATGAGATTTAAAACATTAATATATCAGCTAAC